AGAGAATGCCTGATTGAAGGTTATTACTAACCCAATGGATTACATGTACAGTGTGTCTGCTTTGACTGACTGGTGCCCGCAGAACATATGGTACTCTAATTCAATCTACCCCAGTTTGAGCCAACCTTATTTCTTGATGGTTTTTTTGTTACCCTTAACTAGTTCTTACTACCTTAGTAGACCCTGATACGTTTTCAATTATTTTTTTGCTGTAAAAGAGAAAACATACACAGTATCCTGAAATTTTTATGAAGGTCTCTCTTACAGGAGCTCAAAGCTGGTGAGGGACGACCCCAAGCCAACTATAACATTTTCCAGAACATTTGAGCAATAATTCCCAATGATACTAATAACAGAACCAAATAAACATTTTCTTGGTTCTTCCCACTGAACTTTAGAGTGTTCTCTGTCAAAGGTGCCAAGAGGCAGTTTTCCATTTTAACATTTCAGGACCCAGTTCGAAGGCTGGATAACGCAATCCGCCATATAAATTGCCATTCACCAGTGAATAAGTGTTCACAAAACAAACTGCATTATCCATTGGATAGTGATTTATCTAGTGGACAGCATTATCCATCCTTTGAACAACTGGGGCCAGATCTGTTATGTGATTATCACGATATTTGTTTTCTAAAGGCAATTGATGATGATTGTAATCAGACAGGACAGATGTTGTCTGCACTGCTGTCATGGCCTCAGGTAATATTTCTTAAAACTTTCTATCCTAGTTTATGATTCAAGTACAAGTTATGTAGAGTTTCAATGAACAGGTGCTTTTGCTAGGGTCTGCATTTAGCCTCTATTGCCTTAGTGAGTCGGATGGATGACTTTTTTCCTTTGACCAGAAAGGCCTCGAAACAAGAACTGGTATTATTTTATCTTGCGTTATAATTGTTGGAGGTGCAGTGACCTAATGGATAGTGCCCTGGATTGGGTAGTCCAGCTTTGTGCCCTGGCTGGGGTCATTGTATTGTTTTCTTGGGAAAGACACTTGAATCTCACACTGCCTCTTACCACTAATGGGTACTGGCAAACTGCAAATTGTAAGAATATCTTCCTCCAAATGTCTATCTGATTGTCTCTACTTACAGCTCTGTAATTACACTACTGCACTGTGGTTTTTGGGCCAGTGAATTGCAATTAATATCTTTAGTGTTCCTTTAGGAGACTTTACACTGTTAATCATTCTCAATTTGTTTCACATGTCAAATCTCTTAAGGCTGGTGTTCACTGGCGCATTAGCATAAGCATAAGCTGACATACGCAGACACAGTAAGATGCTGATATTAGTGCTTTTTGTTAAGAAGCTCACAGCACCTCACTGTGTCCGTGTCTATGTTGTTTATGCGCAGGCTAATGTGCACTACAGTAGTTAAAACCAGCCTTTAAACCCACAGAACAGGACGTAGGTTGGAGTGGGGCACAGTTTGGGAGGGCAGAGCATGGAGCCCAGTAAACCATGAGTTTGATTTTAAGGTATTTTAATGATTAATTGTTGTGTTATTACAGGCAACATTTGCATCCAAACTGGAACTAAAAGATGATAAACTGGGTGTGACGCGTGAAATTGATGGTGGTCTAGAGATGATTGACGTGAAGATGCCATGTGTCATCACAGCAGATCTACGGTATTTAAAGTGTCTTGTGTACTCACATGGTAGAATGTACGATTTTGTAAGCTTTACTTGGAGATGGCAAACAAACTAATGAATAAACTACTGATTCAATAATTGATTCATGGGTCAAACAAGGAAACGGACAAGTACAGAACAACGAAAATTACTGACTCTTAAGAAACTGAATAAATATTTATGCAGGATGACCATTTCAGTTATAAAAACTGCTATCAACATGGGTCCCGCGTAAAATGAGTAAAATAATAATTGAAATAACCCATAAAAAATATGCAACAATCTCAAAAGTTATATAACAATCTAGAAATATACGTATTTGAGACACTTCTTTCCTATTGTTAGGTTTTTTTTTCTTGTTCTTAGCTAAGTTTTCAATAGTTTATCTCATTAGTTAATAGTTGGTAGGCTTTTAATTTTAATAGTTTTTTAGATAATAATAGGCTTCTTATTATAACAACTGTCCCCAATTAGTAGAGTGGTGTATCCTCAGGGCTAGCAAAATTGTGATGCGCGAATAAAGTTTTAGTATTGTTGTTGTACTAACTAGTGCTAGTGTACATACTGCTTACATGTAAGCTTCTAATCNGGAGTGGGGCACAGTTTGGGAGGGCAGAGCATGGAGCCCAGTAAACCATGAGTTTGATTTTAAGGTATTTTAATGATTAATTGTTGTGTTATTACAGGCAACATTTGCATCCAAACTGGAACTAAAAGATGATAAACTGGGTGTGACGCGTGAAATTGATGGTGGTCTAGAGATGATTGACGTGAAGATGCCATGTGTCATCACAGCAGATCTACGGTATTTAAAGTGTCTTGTGTACTCACATGGTAGAATGTACGATTTTGTAAGCTTTACTTGGAGATGGCAAACAAACAAATAAATAAACTACTGATTCAATAATTGGTTCATGGGTCAAACAAGGAAACAGACAAGAACAGAACAATGAAAATCACTGACTCTTAACAAAATGAATTGTTCTTTAATGAATAAATAAAATAAATAAATAAATATTTATGCAGGATGACCATTTCAGTTATAAAAACTGCTATCAACGTGGGTCCTGTGTAAAATAAGTAAAATAATAATTAAAATAACATATAAAATATGTAACAATCTCAAAAGCCATATAACAATCTAGAAATATATACATATTTGAGACACTTCTTTCCTTTTGTTAGTTGTTTTTCCTTGTTCTTAGCTAAGTTTTCAATAGTTTATCTCATTAGTTAACAGTTGGTAGGATTTTTAATAGTTTATTAGATAATAATAGGCTTCTTATTATATTAACTGTCCCCAGTTAGTAGAGCGGTGTTTCCTCACGGTTAGCAAAATTGTGATGTGCTAGTAAAGTTTTAGTATTGTTGTTGTACTAACTAGTGCTAGTGTACATACTGCTTACATGTAAGCTTCTAATCTTTTTACATGACTGTCAGTTTGTTGATGCAGACCGAATTTATACTTGTTGTCCTAAGTTGTTTAATCAAGCCTTTTTGTTGTTATTTTCTTCAGGTTGAACGAGCCTCGTTATGCCACTCTTCCAAATATCATGGTTTGTAACATTGATTGTTCCAACATCTAACACAATAAACATTAGAGTCCTTTAGGTTATCGTGCTTCCCGCAAGGGATGCATAGTTAAACTTGGGACAGTTAGGAATATTTTTGTTTTGTGCAAAATCGTCGCAAAGGTTTATTGACTTCAATATCCTCATAATGATTAAAACACAGACCTCTTCGCAATGCCCTTTTTAGCGCAGAGAAACACGAGTGTTAGGATCCAAAATTTTATAAGGGCTTGAAAGAAATGTGAGTGCACAGGTTTTACATGCTATCAATTTATTGTCTGTTTTGAATCACAGAAAGCGAAAAAGAAGAAGATTGACAAGAAATCTCCTGGTGACTTGGGAGTGGACGTTGCACCCAGAATAGAAACAATCACTGTTGTTGATCCGCCAGTACGCGAGGCAGGAATTAAAGTAGAGACAGTGGATGACTTGGTCGGTAAACTAAAAGAACAAGGATTCTGCTGACCAGCTGAAGAAATAGATGCTGAAAAATTGGACAGAAAAAAATGATCATGCTCTTAATTTGGCTTGGGTGTAAGAATACTTCATTTTTGGTGGAAATGGCTTGCTCCTTTTTTAATTGCCAATTAATTATTTGTTATCAAATTTTGGCGCCGCTGAAAGCTGTACTTGTGTTTGTGTAGTTTCATTGTATCCTGTTGTGCGCCATCGCCTAAGTGGAGATCTATGTTATGGTAAAGCAAATACATGCACCTTTGCAGTGAGCCATATCGAAACCTCCAAGGATTAAAACTCGTTACTGAACTACGCGTGTTTTTCTGCGTTCTCTCTAAGGCCCCGCCCATACTACGCTGGAGAAATTTGAAAGCGCAGCTTTATTTCTACGGTTAGGCCTACTGTCCACACTAATCTGTCACGAAAATGGAGCTTTTCGAAAACGCTCTTCAAACCGGTGGAATCTGAAAACGCCGGCTTTACGTTATAGTGTGGACGGGAAACATTTTGAAAACAGAACTTTTCGAAAAAGATGACGTCACGCTAATCATGTGATTTCTCTGCCCGGGTTTTCTTCAAACAGAAATCCAAAATGACCGGTGATTGATGCGTTGTCAAATTTCTCCGGCGTAGTGTGGACGGAAAACATGATGCATTTTCAGAGTGAAAACATCGTTTTCATTTCAAATTTCTCCGCAGAGTTAGCACACTGATTCTCCTCAGTGTTGGTCCGGTTTGGGGCTCGAACCCTCGACCTCCCGCACAGTCAGCCGTTCTATCTGAGCTGACCAGACGGCAAGTCCTAGACTGTTTGGATATGTGAGAATTCAACTGAAACTTAGGAAGCAACGTGACAAAAATAGAGTAAAAATAAATTAATTAATTAACTTTGTTTAACGAGGGTAACACACTTTACTGACTCCACACCTCCCAGCCTTAAGATTGTTATTAGTTTCTACAGGGAGATCCCTGTCTCCTACCCACCAGGCTGCCTTCCTATTCTTACCCGGTAGTTTCCACAAGAGAGTGTCACTACATTTCCAGTTGTTCCTTTGTTTCGGATGACATGACAAATGCACCTGACTTCATAACAGAACATGGCAGATGCCATAGAAATTGCAGGTAGACCGCAATTCTCTCGAAATATCAAGCGCGAAGCGCGAAAGGCAAATTAGTAAAAACGTCAGGCGACAGTCAACGCAGCCTGCGTGTTAGTGGTTTCCTTTCGGCGTGCACATGAGGTGCGTTCACGCCCCGGGAGTGTGGAAAGATCGTTCCACCAGTGCGCGTCCTTCTGAGCGTAAGAACAGCGCTCCACGCAATCTTCTCGCGCCGTGGAAATGAGTGCATGGCAGGCTAGTGGTAGCGGTATGGCACGTTTCTTAGTAGCGTCGGCTCGTGAAAATTTTAGGATTGCCGGAATCGACACAGTGGTCCAATCGGAGCATAAGAAGATAAGCGTCTGTTTGATACCTTGATCTGATTACTAAGGCCTCGCGAGATGGTGGACGTTCGATACAAAAGGCTTGATCTAGTAATTCGCGAGTTCGTCTTGAGCGTTGCTGGGTGTCCGGGCCAACAAGCAGGTTTGATAAGAAAAGGCAAGCGACATTTCAGAGCACATGCATGCAAGGATAAGAGAGAAATTGAGATCAAAGAGGTTGTTTTCTGGACCGGCCATTGCGGCGGTTACAGGTGATCATCTATCCCCTTAATTTACTCTTGCAAAGACACTTCTCTCAGAATGCCTGTCTCCCAGGGGGGCCCGTTATGAGTTACCGTTATGAGCTCGAGATCGTTCATGTTTGATTTTAGGGTGGGTCCTCCCCCTCATTCTTCTCGCCTATCGCACACCCCCTTGGTGGAAATTTCTGTCTCTTCCCAACCTTCTTCTCCTTCAAAAAGACAAGACGGCGGACAAACATTTCGCGCTAAAAATAAATACGCATGCACTGCAGGCGAGTAAATGGTTTGGAAATGAGGAAATGGCAAATATGAGATAAAAACTTTAATCATTTCAGGTTGTTTATACTGTGCTGCATACTGTGGTCAACTACTTAAATCATTACAAGTGATATCTTACAAAACAAGAAAAAGGAAAGTCTTTCTTAGCCGGATATGACGTAATGGTTTGTTAATATATACCATTTTCTTTTAGCGTTGTGTGACTATTCAAATAACGGCTCAGTGTAAATAAGAACTACTAAATAACCAGTAATCAGTAGGCAAATATTTCCGCGCTCTCATGGTTCTCTTAAACATGGTTGCCATAGACATCACTTTTCAAAATTCCTTGACTTTTCCCCCATAAAAATGAAATTTCCCTAACCAAATTAACACAAAATGTCAGATATAATAGCGGCCTCTAGCCTCCTCTTGCAGCCGTCCTTTGCACCCAATTATTTTTAATACACTGATAAGTTTTTCAACAAATTTTCCTATTTCACTGATTAAGAAAACACATTGTTGAGATCACCAATGTTTCTTCTAGCCTTCCATAGTGTGAAATCAGCCGTTAAATTATTTCAATTTTACCTCACTTTTGTTCTAAATTTGTCCAATTTTCCTGACTCGAAATAAAATTTAAATTTCCTGACCATTTCCGACTGATTAGTCTCAGCCTAGTTAAAGACAGGGAGAAAAGGAAAGCGGGGACAAATTCGCCTGATCACAATTTAGCAACTTAGCTGTTACCTGTAGAACACCACTTTTTACTTTACTGTCGATCCGTTTCAAGAGCCTAACTAGATTTTCTACGCGATATTGTTTTAGTCGTGTTTTCCCCATTCGGCTAATCTGATTTGCATACCTTTTGACTCGCAGTTTGTACACTTAAAA